AATGTACTTTATTTCATAACAAACTGTCCGCTCAGAGGCACCTGTAAATCAGAAGACACCTATAAATCTGGCCTTTGGTCCGAACCGGATAAATTAATTTTCTAACTTTGTCAATGGGGTATTTACGGAGGGGAGCGGGCAGGTATAGATGGAGATAGATTATATAGGCTTGGGATTCTAAAAACCTTATTTTTATCACAATGAATCTCTCATTAAAAATATTAATTTTTTTAAAAAACGCTAATTTAAGTATAGTTAAATATATGTATATATACTATTTCGGTGTTTTCTATATAAAATTACTTTCGTGTCCACCTGTTTTCTAATTTCGGACATTCTAAATTGTTAAAAATAACTATCACTTGCCATTCGCTACTGTACTTGTGGATATATGATGATGATGATTCAAAATTTAAAAAAAAATACCTCCTCCCAAGGAGCTTCGCGTTAAACAGCAATAAAGGCCTCGTTGTGCACAATAACGGGACCGCGGCCAATGAAAGCAACACACAAGGCGCTAATTACAACGCAACAAGTTTTAACAAGTATTTATACACATATAGTGTCACCTAGGTACGTGATTTTCTCCTCGTTAGGTGGTGCCCATCACGGTATGTTGTAAGTGTATATCCGTATTATGTTTTTCATTATTCCAAAAATAAAAAAAATAATTACAAAAACCGCGGTCGCGTTACCACTCGATGGTTGTTCTCAAAACCACTCTACTCAGGATTGCCATCCGGCCATACTCTTTGAAGCGGTTATTGTACGACCTTTGTGCACATAGTGTGTTTTTCATATTTATATATATATATATATATATATACTATTTTTAAGTATACAGGATACAGGACACAGTCCTGTATCCGCAGTCAAACGGCACAGAATACACCGGAAAGAAGTCACAGAACAACCGCACAGCAGGGATATTATATATTGTGTATTGCGATTTCCAAACGTTTTCCAGTGGCGGGTTTTGTGTGTAAATATTATATATTTTCCAATAGTGTACACACACACACCTTGGTCTTTGAAAGTTTTTTTCGTGTGCAAGTTTAACCAGAGAATGTTATTATGCTATTATGTCGAATGGCAACGACGTAACGGGCACGTTTATATTTGTACACATAAAAGCCAACGGCATGTCGAATGCACAATGGGGATGTATATAGGACAGGGTATAAGTGGTAAATGTATAACATATTGTCGCGGGTGTGATAAATCCAATTATATTGAATAATACAATAAAAGCTCTCTCTCTCTCTCTCTCCCAAGGAAGTCGGTGTGTACTCTGCTCTGTCCTATCTACACCTATGACCGTATCAATTACTTAGGAGGGGGGGGGGTGGCTCAAGTCAAAAACTATACAAACCAATAAAACGTTCAATTATGACAATGTAATTAGTAGTGTGAATCGGTTATAATATTGTTTATCGTCAAATTTAATCATTATATAATATACACGTTTTTAATAATTGGAGAAAAATTACCTTTATCAAATTATTCGATTACCGACGACGCTCGAGCGACCTTTCGAAGGAACCGATTAAATTATTTAAATTATTTTCTCTGATCGTTATTATAAATTAAAAGTCAATAAAAAAAAAAAAAAAACAAAAGTGAGGGGAGAGTAGTAATTAAGAGGTCAAAAGTATTTATGCCGAATTAAAATTGGCTGTTGCTTCATTCATATAATACAAATATCATAAAACGACAATGTAATGTAGAAACAGAATCTATAATTTATTTCACAATAAGGTATATAATATATAAAAGTACAAATATATTATTGTAACATATTTGTATAAAACATAACAAAGTGAAAATTATAGTAGAGGCAACGATTCATTAAAAAAAGTATGAAAAAATAAAAAGGAAGGCAATTAATTAAACGCAAAAAGTTAAAAATATTACATTGTAAGATAATTACACTGTATTAACCTAATCAATCATTTATTATTTTCTAACAAAAGAAAAACGCTTAATTATTGTTGTAAAATTGTATTTGTCGTTTTCAGTATAATCGCATTAGACCGTTGAAATTGTATGAATAAAAGGTGAAAGGGCGAGACACTAATAGTGTTATCTTGTTGTCTTATTGTATTAAAGACAAGGAGGGGTAGGTGCTTGTAAACAAGTAGGGTAAATGATAATGTGATTTATTTAAAAAAATAATCACTTCCTTTTTTTTTTTTATTGAAATAATCTAATTAAAAGACGAGAATGTATCAAACGCACTTGTTGATATTTTTGTCTACAAAACGATGGTAATAAATGCTTGAAATTTCATAAATCATAACTAGTTGTTTTAAACTTAACTTTATACAATTAGATAATTAAAAAAATTACCATAAAAGCTTTATGACTTTATTAAAATAGTTTTGTGTATCTGTAATCGAACAAGTGTTTTAAATTAAACAACTGCGATAGTAAATACATTACACATCATGGCATTAAATTAAAGAGTAAATTAATATTTTTAACAATTATTGACAATTTACGGATGGACTTTAGAAATTGAAAACAAAAATAAATGACAGTAGAAAGTACTAGAAGAAGTACAATTATTTAGCACAGTCGTTTTTTTTCTAAAGTTTATGTATGTACCACAACTGTATGATCTATGTGTTCAATTTTCATGACAAGTAAAAAATAAATATTTTATGTGTGTAGTACAGTAGCTATGTGTACATGTAGGTACTATCGGTAGTGATATTAATCCGACTTTTTTTCTTTCTTAATACTTTGTTTGCACCTGGACTTGTAAGTGTTACGGGAACGATGGAACGGCGGCGACGGCGTTTTAGGCTCGTGCTTGAAAATACTATAAACCGTCAAAGGGGTCCAATGTTTAGTAGCCCTGACCGTGATGTGTTCCCGTGACGTCACGGGAACCGTATACACTGCCATCGATCGTGGGCGTTGTTAAAACAGCCACACGGATCAGCGGGGTTGCGGTTTTATTAACATACAGCACTATACCACTGGGTCAGTCCTCTCCTGGAGAAACTACTCATCTCACCGTGTGCCGTTGTAATGGGGAAACTTATTTTTTAAACACCCACTCAAACAAACAATGTCTCCCTGGACCCAAATGGGTCTTGACCGAGAAACGAAAATGTATTCTATAGAAAAGCCCAAGGTGGGGGGGGGGAGGAGGGAACGGTTGAACAGACGGGGTCATAATATCAAACGCCTAAACGGTGAACTGGGAACTACTATTAAAAAAAAAAAAAAACGGTTCCTAATAAATGCTAAGATAATGAGATAATTTTGAATATGTAGTTTAGATAACAATATGTCATTGTGATTTTCCCGTTTGTAAGGACAGACATATCGGTTCAGATGGAAACCAACGTTTTATGATTAATTCCAATTGAACCCGCTGAACAAGATCAAGATGTTAACAACATGTATTCTGTCAAAGTTAAATAGACCCAAAAAAAATTGCATGCAAATAAATCCGACCGGGTCATAATTCTATATTTCTGTATAACATATTTTTTTGTTTTTTATGATCGGATAATTTAATTAACTAAAACGTTTATTCAATTTGAATGTAAACATTAGGGGAAATTAACGGGGCAAGTAGCGTGTTTGCGTGCCAATCAATCACAACGGTTTATAATAATCCAACAGCTGCGAGGATATCGAGTTAGTTAATCTTAATGAGTGGATGCCGTGTGTCTTTTCGATCGGACAGTACTTTAACCGTGTACATTATTATATTACAAGCTATTTATCATATATTTTGAGCTTCCAGAACTTGCAAACCTGTGTGGAACGGTGTGGATTGTTAACGTGTTCCGGACGGGTGACCTAGCATTTAAATTTTTTTTTTTTTAAATAAAATTCCTGGGGTTAATTTTATTTTTAAATTAATTGTTGTATTTGTCGTCGACCTCTGGGGGGGATAAGGCGTTGAACTTATTGGTCCGTGTACGCCTACGGCCAAACGGAGGTTATCCACCCACGTCTGGCAAACGTCTTGCTCACTCGTCGAGATAACGTTTTATAACGATAAATTGGGAAGTACTTAATAATAATATAACCCTACGGAAAATTATTATAATAACAATTTTTAACAGAAACTATTTTCAAACGGGGTTAGGTTAGGCAATAAGTCGATTTTTTTAACAAATTGTATTTATTTATTGTTAAGTTGTATATATACAGGGTGTTTCAGCAAGTAATAGGTGATTCGACATCTGGGAAACCCACAAATAAGTCCCTCGTTTTCATTTTTTCAATAAGTCAAAAATTGAAGGTTTTTTCGACGGTTAAGTAAAAAAATAATGACTTAAAAAAAAAATTAATTCCACACATCATTTGCAGTCCCTTTCGGCCCCTTACTCTTCTCTTATCACTTATCATACCTTCTTTTGTTACCTCTAGTCTCTAATCATTTATTTCTAATCTCTCATCGTTTATCTCCTACCAACTATTTCTAAATCATTTATCTCTCATCATTTATCTCTAACCTCTCATCGTTTATCTCTTATCAATTACCTCTTAGAATTTATCTTTTATCACTTATCATTTACTTCTTATTGCTTGTCTCTAATTATTTTTTTGAGTTAGGGACTGAAAGAGAGTAAAAATGATGTGACTCTTCTTTTAAGGTGAGATTTTTGCACTGAATAACAGGGAATAATTTTTTTTTTTAAGTCATATTTTTTTTACTTAACTGTCGAAACTTTTAATTTTTGACTTATCGAAAAAATTAAAACGGGGGGCTTATTTGAGGGTCCCCCAGATATCGAATCACCTATTAATTACCTTTCATGCTGTAACACCCTGTATATATGTGTATATATCATGTAAAAAATGGCATTTTCGCGACAATAATTGAAAAAGTTGCTACAAGAAATTTGTTAAAGCTTTGTGGTTTTAAACCTGTTAACTTTATGTTTTAAGTGTTTTGTTTAAAAATGAATATTAAACAATGTACGTTGGTTGTATGGCCGTTAAATTAAAAATTTGTTTTTTTTTGTCAACAGAGAATGGGGGAGGACGGAGGAGGGTGGTGACCAGAGCAGACGCAGGGGTTGGACATGGGCAACAAACTGAGCTCCTGCGGACCTCTAATAAAAAAATCGTACAGGTACGACGACGTTGCCGGACCATTCCAAAGCTCATCCAGAAGAAGAGACGGCCATCTTCTAAGGTACGGTAGAAGCGGTTTATATAACTAAGATTACAACTGGCCAAAAGCACTAGCCAGGGATCAGACATTTGGGCGTGTAGCTGTTGAAATCCGGTTAGGCCGTTTTATTGTGCAATAAACGCGATGTAGATATTATAATATTATTTGAAAAACATTGTACTTAACCCGCTGCGCAGTGTGTGGGTGTGTGTGTTCTAGATGTGTTTCGATGGTGAATAATTATAAACGAGGGGAACAACCGCGGCGGGTTTAGCTTTTCGACTTTCATTAGCCATTAAAGAAGATGATTACTATTCGAGGCCCGGCGCGTCCCCGAAGGGTTTAATTGTTCGGAAAAGCTCAACTATTCATAATGTGTGTTTGTGTATAGAATAAATATGCGATGCGACGACACGAGAGAGGCATAAAATAAAGCATAATAATATTATTCCACATTAGATTCGGGCAGAATGTAATTTCGCCAAAGCGTTGGAACTTATTGAGATGAAAGAATTTATAAATGTATATACAATATTGTGTTGCTGGCGACCAAAGTACCGAGCCCGGTGTTATACATAATATTATACTCATTATGTCGTAAAAAAATATAATCGTAAATACTTGTATAGGTTATGGGCCGAAGTGTTCCACGTGAGCGCCAAAGGAGAGGAAATAAAATGGCAGCAAATATCCGAAGACCTCGTTCCTGTGAATATTACATGCGTACAAGACGCGCCCGATTATATTTTCCACATAACCGCGTACAACAGTCAGGTGGAGAAAATTATGGACATCCGCCTGGTGCAGCCCGGTATGATTGCAAATATAATAATAATAATAAAAAAAAAATGCCACTAAATTTTTACACGTTCCACTTACTTGTGTTCAATGTTTGTTTTCAGGCACAAAAATAGGTTTAGCTTCGGAATGCTTCGCCTATTGGAAAGAACCGCACACCAACGACACGTGGGGACTTAACTTCACGTCGCCGATCGACGCCAAACAGTTCAAAGAATGTTGTGTAAGTATCTGTAAGACGATAATAATAATAATGATTTATATAGGTACACCGACCGCGGTCTGTTGTTTGGCGGCCATTTTGTGATTTATCAAATATATGATAAGAGTTATCATTATCGTGTTATCATCACCCAACACAAATATATATATATATATATAATATTTATATATATTATTTTACATACACACATAAATCCCACAAAAATGGCGGACGTCGACTTCCATTCTTATCATTGGTTAGCAATCAAGTTTGGTTCGCCTAACATTTTTATGATTTATCAAATTTGTGACTGCGTTACAGGCGGTGGCCATATGATAATATATTTGAAGTGCTATTATAGGTTGACACGCTGTGTTGCCATATTACTAATAATTTACTATTGTACACAGATTTTAATGGTTTAATATGGTCGTACCTAATCAGTAAATAATATCGCATATTAAATTATTCTCGTCGTGTTATACTATGCTGCCATCTAGTTTATTGTTTTCGACTAAAGGTTGTAGGATTGCCGCCATTAAATTATTGGTTGATTCATATCAAATTATACGCTAGTAGGTATCGACAATGGCCTGTCCTTATATTACTTACTCTATGCGGTGTTATCATCGCCTAACCTAACATTTTAATATGTATCATGGAAAAGTAACTGAGCATTTTTACTTTCCATGAAATCGGTACACAAAATGGCTGCAGGTCGCAGGTCGGGATATTTTTTAATCTGAGCACCCGTTTCATATAATATCGAGCTCAGTGATTGTAATGTATAATATGTTTTTACCGCCGCAGACTCCATCGATGAAATTGTCCCGCAAGTCGTCGTCGTCGTATTCACTGAAATTGGACACGTCCAAGAGGCAAAGCACGAAAGTCCGGAGGAAACCGTTGTCGACCCCGACGTCGCCGAGCCGGTCGAGAGAGCCTCAGTGCACTTGCATGACGGCCGACCAGTTCAACAGGCTGAGGGCTCAAGATCCGCGGTACAACAAGGAACGATGTAAGTCGATGGCCCGACAATGAAGCAAGCGTAAGTACAATAATTTTTTTTTTTTTTTTCAGCATCGACCTTACCGCGTTCCCACACCAGACAATTGTCTCTCGGCGACGGACCTTCAGACCCGGACAAAAAGCTGTCGGCCGAGGACACGACCAAACAGACCACCATATCCCGAAGCTCAACCACGAGAGACAGAGAAACTGCCACGCCCGGTGGGAAATTAAACATCACCGGAACTGGGTCACAAACGGAACAGGTAAGCGGATGATGATGTCAATCGATATGCGACTTCATAATATATCGATTACAGGGTCAACAACAGGACAGTTGCAAAAGCGAGGCGGTTCAAACGGTCGGCGCCAAGACCACGACCACCACCGGCACGTGCACCCCGCGGATGTTGTCTAAAGACTATTCCGAAGGTTACGGAGTTAGGATTTTGGAGACGGACTTGTTCAAGCCCATCAACGTCCCGAAGAGTTCGAGAAATCAAAACAAAGCGTACAGAGATGATTATCGGTACAGAGACGGTGAGTTGCTGTCACTATGCCGCTATCTCTTTGAACGAACAAACAAATAAATTAATATCAAGACCTCTGCAATAATGTCATACAGAACAACGATAGGCAAACGTAGCAAATCAGATTTGACGTTATTGCTCCCAAATTGAGGGTTATGGTTTTGCTTTTTATGCTAGACCAGTGTATTAAATTTTACTTTTCGTTTGTTTTCAGGCATGGGCACAATGAAACGCACGTTAAAGCCGATGCCGTCGTTGGAAAGTCCTGCCACCTCACCTGAAATGACCAGGAGACGTGGATACAGTTATTACCATCAGGCGCCGCCGGCCTCGACAATGAATCTGCCTATGCCACATTGTTCAAGGCAAGCGCAATCCGAATCCGAGTCTTCGGCCAAACACAGAAATTCGCGCTTTGGCACTTTGGGTACGTTCATTTATTATTATTTCACCGTCATTTCGTCAAAGGTATTTTACGGTTTGTGTTTGTAATCTAGGTTCCCGGTCGTCGTATGACATCGGCCGAGCCGAACAAAGCATGAGGGATCATCCCAGAGGACTTTACTTGGAGCTAGACCGCAACGGTCGGCCTACACAGCCGGCGGACGGTTCTCCGCTCTCTGACACCGTAATGTTTGACAACCAGTGTTACGCGACGACGCCCAGCTCGAGCAATGGTAATTCTGACCAGGACCAATCTAGCAATAATGAAAACTCAGGTCCGTAAGGGCATGGTCGATAGAGTATTGATAAGCATGTCTGCCCAAGACACGTGGTCTTAGTAGGTAGAAACGCGTAACGAAAATTACGGGGACGGGGGATTCATAGCTATCACGTTTTGACCAAACTCTAGAATCGCTTCATACCTAGTTATCAGAATAATGATATGTAGTCAAACGCTATAACGATTAGTCGAACAACCGTAGTGTGGTATTGTATAATGTTATTTAGTGGCTCAACCAGTGGAAGGGGGTTTATTGTTTTGCCTGCTTAAAATTGAACAGAGGATGTGTGTAGTGGAGATGAGAATGTTCAGATGGATAAGTGGAGTGACTAAGGTGGAATAGAAAGTGATATGAAGATAGCTGGGATGATTGAACGAGTTGTAGAAGATCGAGCTCTATGGGGGGTGTGGGACTAGGGTAGCCGATCCCATGTAGTTGGGAGTGTAAGGCGAAGATGAAGAAGAAGACTGTTTTACCTGCTCCTGAATGCAAATGTTGGTTGTGCCACTGACGAATGAATGTTTAGAGCGGTTGTCGTTGGCTAACCACGGTGCATTGTATTTTTGGACAAATATTGTATTTTAGCGACTAGACTATGTTATCTCGTCCGCACCTAGCTACAATAGTTGACTTTGCAATGTAGGCCGTGGCTATCAGAAACACGATAACCAAGCTACCAGCACCCCGGGCTCACCGACCAGCCGCTTGTTGCTCGAATACGAAATGCACTTGCGGAATACCTTGGCCCGAGGCATGGACGCCGAAAGCTATAGTCTGCACACCTTCGAAGCACTGCTGACACAGAGCATGGAAAATTTAGGTGAGCACAGCGACCCAAAGAGCCTCGGACTGGCTAATGTTTATTGAGTATTTGTGTTTCTATTTGCAGAAATGGCGGAACAACTACCTCCGTTGAATTCTAGAAGTCCGTACCCGACGAGAAGGCGTAAGTCCGGTCGAATCACATTGTCGACGACAGCAAACTAAACTGTGTCTGTGTTGTATTGTTTTCTTAGGCCCGATGAGCGCCGGAGGAAGCTTCAACAGATCTTCCACGCTACCGCATCGTGTGGAGAGATCGTCCAGTGCTACCAGAGAAGGTTACTATAGCGATCGGCAAGATGCCGCTAGGGAACGTGACCGGGAACGAGGATATTTGTCCGACCACGCTCCGTCCAGGTAAACATTATTCATCTAAATGACACTCGTTCAATGCAGTTCAAATCACTAAGCTACCGCCTAAGAACAAATAAAGTTGACTAGTTTTTTTTTACTTCTAACAAAGTCAAACACCTGCATTTAGGTATGCAAAAAGTCTCCTAAAGTCAGTACACTGTAGAGTAGGAGATTTTACAAATTTCATTTCGCAATAGACCCATAACTATTGTAACCCAGCAAAGGCATCATTTGCCATTAATGTATAACTGAAAATTTACCAGATCCTAGTTTTTAGCAGACGAAAGAGCAATATTTTGTAGATTTTGCGTAGTCGTTTAAACTACTAAGGACCTGTGTTTTTGTTTACAGCAATCGCTGTGCTAATTGTTGGAATGAGTCTGCACGTGCCCATTGGTTTAGGCATAGTGATGGATGGCGTTGCGGTTCATCAACAATGGGAAGTGGTACATCAAGTATCAACTGCGTACCACCACACAGCTCATTCGACTATGTACATCACCATACGCCACCAGGAAAGCAATCGAAGAGATCAGCTTGGGAGTCTTTACCGTCTCTCCGTCACGAAAACAGCCTTGCAGCTGATAATGCCTGCAAATATAATAGAAATGATTCTTTTGAGCAAAGGTAGTATCAGGAACTAGTATATAATTATTATTATTATTATTATTATTATAACTATAATCGCTTTAAAAATAAGAGTCATTAGGTTAGGTGTTTGTTATGATGGGTTTTTATGCTAAAAAGGTTGATACAGGTTATTGATTTATAATATCTTATGATATTATTAGGAATTTGTATAGAAATATACAAAACATTTATGTGGTAATAGTAGACATAAATGTATATGACATACATGAAAGTTAATTTATAGTACAAACTGTAAAAATGAACAGGTTAACACATTTAACGGTTATATGAGAACCGTTGGTTGTCTGAACAACACAATGCGGTAAAGTGCATTGTGGTCTTAGACTTGTGATTGTCATAATACGTGGAAAGCTCATAATTATTATGTATTACATTTAAAAACGGTTTTTTTACCTACCACCTAAATCTGTGGTACGTCACATCAGAACCAAGGGCAGAAGAAGAAGAAGAAGAAGGAACATGAAGACATATTCATGGTCCAATGTATTTCCTTCAAAGGAAAAACTAACGATTTTTTTTTTTATTCCTGTGACTATGATCTACACAGAACATGTCTTATCATTCCTATCGCCATCTCTTTATGAAATTTCTTCTAGAAATGGTTTCCTCAACCTTGACTGATGTTTCTGGCTTTAGTCGCACATCAGTCCTCATTTCTTATTCTTTCCAACCAGACAATTCTCTATACTCATTTCCTAAAGCCCCATTTCGTGGAAAGAATATTTTTTCCACTTATTTGGCGATCCAAAAACACTTATACTTCAAGTTTTAAGAATCCTTTATTTTTTTTAAAAATCCTGTCCTTTTAGTTAAAAGGACAGGATTTAAATTTTAAAATATTATATTTTAATAATATTTACTGCTTATTTTTATTTATATAATTTTATTTATATTAAGTTATTTTACCAAAGTAGATTATCTTTTAGTTCCTCCATTACTGTATGATTTTAACCTTAATAATATTTTTATATTTATTTATATTTATATTTTCATATTTTTATTCTTATATTTAGTTATATTAGGTTTTTTTTCCAACATTGATCATCTGTTATTTTCTCCATTACTGTATAATTTTTTTTGGCCTTAACATTTTTCTACGTTAATGTTGGTTTGCAAGAAATTTTATTGGTTTCGTTCAAGCCAGCATAAATGTATTATTATTTTATTTTGGTTTTTTTATGTATTATTTAAACAATTTGAAGAGTTTTGTTGGAATTCCAATGAAACGTGTGGATTTTCGAAATCCTTATTACACAAATTTCAGACAGAGAGAAGAAGAGAGAGAGAGAGAGAGGCGCACTTCCTAGGAAAGTAATAACAATTTTAAAATTTTTTATTTATGTTATTTTACAATATCGTTTAAAAATAAATTTAGCAGTTTTATAATAATGTACAAAAAAATAATCCAATTCCTCAACTTCTACAATTGTTATTACTTTCTAAAAAATGAGTGTCTTTGATTAAATCGACTACACTGTATTTGTTCAAATCGGTTTGATGCGATTTTGGACTAATATTAAATTGAACAAATCGAAGGCATCTCAACTTTATAAATAGATCAGGCGAACAACAGACGATATTTCTCAACAGATTGTATGCCATTTGATAGACAAAGAAAGGACTTGTTCGGGGTAGTAGGAAAAAAGTCAAAAGCAACACGAACATCATAGATGTACTAGACAGTGAAGACATTTTGACGGATTTACAAACTATACAGTCTACAAATGACTTTGCAACAGGCGTTGATGAAACAAAGGCAATTTTGGCAGATTTAAAAATAACGTGTAATTTGAAACAATAAGTAATAATGTATTTCAAATAAAAATTTACCTGATACAGTTTATACACAAATAATTAAAATAACGTGGTTTTTACAACTAAATTTTTGAAATCAAAAATAAAACACCGTTTCTATAAACACTTAAAAATGATAAAGATTTTTGTAAAAATAGAACCTCATAGATAATGAAAACTGTATAAGCTTATTTTCCAGAAGCAGCTTACTCCACTTAACTTAGTACCGTATATGCCTTAGTCGATTTTATTTTTAACACAAGTATATTTAAAAATGATGTTAAAGTTTTAAATTTAAGGCGGGAGGTAGGGTAGAATTATTAGTTTTATCTGCGCGCATTACTCAACCGCACTCTACATCCCGGCTTAAATTATAATCTTAATAAATGGAAAAGTAATTATCCTAAACTGGTTATCGACCAGTCAACGATTTCAACAAATTAAAAAAGTTAATTAAATATATATATATATACGTTACTATTTAAGTTACAAAAGTTGATAGAGCTCTGGAAAATAATAAAAAAGTAATAAATATTGTCATTTTTGCCTATTTTGAGTAGTTCATTGAATTTCACATGAAATGACCCTGTTTATGAAATGTTTTAAATTTTTATAAAATAAATAATAGATCAAAAATAAAATAATGTAGAAGTCTGAATAATTGTTTATTCAGACAAAAAATTGAAATATTATTACTATAAATAAAAATAAATGTATTTTTAAAAAAAGTATTATAAACATTTATAAATAAATATATAAAAAATGTAACTATAGCAAAAATACAATTTTTTTTTATGTGCTAAGTAAAAATGTAGGTATTTCATTTATCTCATAATTTACACGGTTTTACATTATTTGGGTTAGTTTTATCCAAAAGTTAAAACTGCCACAGCTGCCTGGTAGATTTTTACACAAATATGTGTTTTGGCCGATTAAAACATTGTTTCCAAACGCCTAATCGTATACGAAGATGGATCAACAATAAGATTAAAATCCAGAATATAAATTAAGATTTTGGACACTCTGGAGCAACATAAATACTTAAGCCTGGAAGACCACCAAATACTGCTCAAGACAATTTCGTGCGGATATTTCGACAGAACATTTAATTTTCTTTTAAGTTAAGTTAAGTCAAAATTCTGTAAGGAAAGGCGTGGATCCAGAAAATGGACTACGCGGCCTTCACCTTTTCCATTAAATTTTTTTTTATTCAATACCAATCACATTTACACTTAGAATGAAATAATAACTTTACTTTGAAATCAATTATAGCTTAACATATTCACATTTGACAAAAAATATACATTTTTCAGCCGATTTCGTTTATAACAGATTTCTATCGGTTTCGTTAATTTTTTTTTTTTTTTTAATTACTGGATCCTCGTCTAACCTAATAGATTTCCACAGTCATCATTTGATTCGGCAAGTAACTATATCGAAACAACCGGTGTCAATACTAAGACAAATTACTAATGCTAATGACTGGAAATCGTTTTTGTAAACGTTTTTTGAGATCATACGTAAGTATTCAACAGGATGTTCGAACGACAAGACAGTGGCAGACTGGATTACATGAATGAAAGAGCGGCCAGGCACAGTTTCAGTGGAATCACACAACAAGCTTCAGTCGAAAGCACCGATTCCCGTCTGTGCTATTTAACGTCGTCCGAGGTGAGTTCAAACCGATCAAACCATATAAGTAGTCTGCAAAATATAGACAGTGCAATAAAATAACGAACAAAAAAAAAAAAAATTGTCCATTTGTTTGTCGTTTTGTTGTGCTCGTCGAGTAGTGCCGTTAGAGTACACGTATAGCTGCTCAATTAATTTCAATAGAAAACCTCTGTAAGACCCCACTAATGGGGTTGTTTTTGTTGGAGACAAATTTCATACACAAATTACAACAAAGAATTCGAATGTTGTACGTTCAGCAGCCGTACTCGATTGTACAGCGTGTAAGAATAATCATATTTTTTTTTTTACCAATTATGTCATAGTTTGTAGCCACGTAATAATTACTACTTGACATCAGCTTATACAGGGTGATTTTAACGCATAGAGCGCGAACTAAATGTTCACAAACTTTTAACCTAACCCTCCCGAGGTTACATGTCGATAACCAGTTTTTGAATAATTTTTTTTTTTTTTTTGATGTTATTAAAGATTAAAGTTGCGGACGGGAATAAGGGGGGAGCATTTTCTTATATGCGCGCATTACTCAACCGCACCCGTCCTAAATTTTAACTCTAATAACACATTATAAAAATATATAAAAACACTAAGGAAAATACAAATTACTTAGACCCCAGATATCGAGTGGATAACTTTAAATAAGTCACCCTGTATATCACTATATATTAGAATAGCGATGTAAGGGATAAAAATAATAATAGGAACAATTTGTTAAACTAGAACATCATTTTCGGTATGACGTTGCTGTATAGGTATAAAACGAGGTGATTTGCCGTTAGGGTGTATATTATTAGGTAATGATACATTTATAAGGTTGTTAAAGACAAAAATTTGGTGTATATAATAATATGGTACATGGTAATATTCTGGTGATTTTTATATCCATAAATATTTGGGTCCGGTTTGAACAATTATGTAAACCAGGATGGACTCTAACGAGGTTAAAATGTACAAAAAAAAATTTTGTTATTTATTTTTTTGGTATAACGTGATGTATTGTGGACCTTAGGAAGTTAACTGTGTAAATTATTGTGAGTTATTTTTCAAAGTGTGAAGTGTTTATCTCGTTTATTTATAGTGAAAATAATTATTTTCGTTATGACAGTACAAAACAACTAATATTCGTTTAACTGTTGTACTTTAAAATTTCTTAACGGTTGAGTGGAGTACCTAATTCAATTCAACAATACAGTGCATAAGAGGAAAATATGTTGTTTCTCTAGAGAAGAGAGAGTCAATCAGAAACAAAATGTTGGTTTGTAAAACAGTACATTTACACAAACACATTACTAAAAGTTTTTATTAATGTAGTAATAATAATTGGTAATTTCTCAATAGTAATATTTTTTAATAATCCCTTTATTAACTGTAAACTGAAATAGAATTTTCCATTTTAACTTAACTACGATACTGTTTTATTTTTAATTTTAAAAATAACTGATCCAAGTTAATAGATATTTTTCTTTTAGTGAACTTAATTATATTGTTTTGTATTAACTGCAAATAATTTGATAATTGTTATATTTTTTATACTTTATGTTTGAATATAAAACCGAACAGTTCAAATTTAATTATTTTTAAAAATTATTTTCATATTGATTGTGTTCACATTATTCAAGACAGGTAAACCATCTCTAACGTCGTGGTCACATTGGCAATGTCTGAGAAGTTACTTCGGCCAGCGGTAAGTCACAATGCTTGGGGACGAGCCAATTAAACTTTTAAATTAGTCTGCCTGCCAATTAATAAAGGGAAAAAGAGAGCGAACAATTTTTCTGATAGACATTTTAATATTCAGACTAGGTACAGGGTCCCTCGAGTTTTACCGTCTTTAAGGTGATAATGATATTCTTAGGACGTGCCTTCTTTTATAAAGACCTTCACTGGGGTTTGTCTACTGTTTCATATTATTCATATTAGCACTGAAATAAATGAAAATATTTTAAAATGTATTTAATTCAATAAAGGAAATTATTAATAACGAGATGGTAGAAATGGAGTGATCTATTGCTATAGTTATTAACCGTAATACTTTAGGTACTTAAAATAAAAATACATTCTTTCTTACCCAATTACTGACTTAAAGTCGAGTAGTTAATTACTTTACTATATGCAATTACTATAAACACAAAAGCACATTTATTTTTTAATTTATTGTTATTATATAAAAACAGAATCTCTAAGAAATATTAATTACATGTTTAAAGAATAGATAACCTTTTTGGTAGACCATTGTGCATTGTTTAATACAATTTTTACAAATCAAAACATGTGTTATTTTTTTAAAATAGGTGTTTAGCTATAAGTTGATGTAGAATACCTTAAAAAATTTTCGACTAGACTTGTATATTGTTGTAAAGGAAGTTATCTTGAGTTACGGACGTTCCAGGGAGAGAGTTGAGGGACGTGTTTTTGATATCTAGCTTTGCATTTACATTTTTACAACCAAAACAAAGTGGGGAAATGCACTTGTAAGGAGTTCCGGTAATCAAAGCGGAGGAAGTAAAAAAGGAAGTGAAGAAATCAAGAAATTGAAAATATATTCAAATTATCGAATATATTAAGAAATTCTATTAAGAACATTACTTGGAATGAAATAGGAATTTTCCATTGAACATGTCTCGCTGATCCCCGACTTGGTCTTTTTCGTTTTGTAACATTAAATATGTACTAACTTACATTTTGAATTTTATTACTTAATATTTAAAATCATTTATTGTTTGTATAAAATAGGATTTCAGATTAATCAGCTGTCATTGGTTTCATGTCTTAATTATTTTAAATGAACAGGTGAAAAAAAACTATGAAACGGTTTTCTACTCTTCATAGGCCTTTTGCACACAACCGGAAGTTATCAACGCTGTCAATTGTGTGAGTATCAAATTATACATTATTTACAATTAAAAAATTGGCTTAAAAAAAATACCCATTCTGTTTTTTATAACTTGACGTTTATGACACTTTGAAAATGTGTTTACAGTGACATTATTATACAGTTATATTATATGCACTAACAACTAATATACATTTTATTTATTTTTCATTTTTGGAACAAATTGTTTTGGTTTTTTTTCATTATTTCTTTATTAATTAATTTTTCAAGTACTTTGTTTACACACATGTTTTATTTGATTACACACATTGAAAATTAGTTGGAATTCCAACGGTTACCACCAAATGTTGTATCCAGACATGACAAATGAAGGCCACAAAGTTTCCAGCAAATATTTACACACCGTTTTAATTCTTTCACAGTTTCAAACAAACTTATAACTTGTACACAATACATACAACTTCTAACTGTGTAATTATAAAACGCAACGCAATTACTCGGTGTTGTTTTTTTTTTATTTTGAACCTTTAAAACTCGTTATACGAACAACTGCTCGTAAATTTGCCCATTATTGTTTTGAATGGTGTGAACAAATTCTATCTATTTAATAAGAATAACAACGACACGCGTTAACCCTGCTGGATCCGTTTGAACACAGATTTATTGATCCAGCATTGGCATTCAACTAGGCAACGGCGAGGATCTAAGACTGATGGATCACTATGCCAATGACGTCAAGAATAAAGCCGAACGGGCGAGCAAACGTTTATTGATTGTTTTGAAGTTAAAAAACATCATTGTAACTCTATATGATGAACCAAGGTCGTGTGGTTGGCGGTAAACGAGAATCAGAAATAGAAAACCACAATGTAATGCAGACGTTATGATGTATTATTTTCAACCGCACCACAAAATCGACGGCTATTGAATTTTGGGGAAAACATTGTAGAAGAAAAAGAAAACCGCATTTTCCAGTCATCATCGTTTATACAAATGCCTGACGTTCCTGACAAAAGCCAGCACCGCCGCATTGTTTTTTGGGATTTAGCACAAAGGCCGCGCACAAAGGTTGTAATATTATAAATGATATTAATTTAATCATATCAAATGTCTGCGGTTCCAGGTTTGGCTTGCCGTGAATTATTATCCAAGTTGCAGATATATACTTTGGAACAATTTAAGTAACGCTATTACTTCTTACATACATGCTTGGAAGTTAACATTTTATGTTTTTGCTTTGGCACACAACCGGAAAAACCAACAGTTTTTGTTATCATAACGAAAAATATCAGCTGATTTATCTGATAAGATAAGAGATAAGAGATAAGTTTTCTTTGTGAGGGCCGCCCGACCCGTCCGTCCCTTTGGACGCGGTCACGCGGTTTTCATACATCAACGCCGCGTATGGACGAAGCCATTAAACATACATATATATATCCCGCGTCGTGTCGGCCGCTTGGCCGCTCGTCCCGGCAGAGGGCGCGATCGGGGCGCCGGGACGCTGCGGACGCTCGAATACCTACGCCCTCGTGATACACACCCTCGTCGTCCCGCGAGGGTAGTCTGCCGACGGAAGCTGAACGATCGTCGCGCGTCGACCTCTCAGGCAGTGTTCGCTCTCGCCGTTACCGTCCGGTCAAACGCGTTCGGCCAGCCCGTTTTTTTTTTTTTTTTTTTTTTTTGGAAGATAATATACACACACTTTTTCCCGCGTCCCGCGGTTGATACATGTGCCGGTCGCGGTCGGAATCGGCGGCGGCCGCCAACGGCCGGACGGCCGCGTCGCGTCGGCATAACGACGACGGGCCGCCGACGGGTACGGTCCGCCGATGAAAATGGTCGAAGGCAAAACGCGGTCCTCGTCCGCCGTCACGGCCGCCGCCACCGCGCAACAGCAGCAACCGCGGCACACCAAAACCGTACACTTCGGCCTGGACGTGCCGGCGTGCGACGACGGCGAAGACGACCATGTGGTCGACGACAACGGCTGTAGCGATAACACTGCGACCACGTTCGACGGACGGCAGTACGACAGGCGCGTGCTGCGGCTGTTCGCGTTCATCGAGAACGCGTTGAGCGCCCGGGACGACGACGCCGACCGCTTTGGGTACGGCGTGGCCGGCCAAGACGACGACGCGAGGTCGTT